AACGTCGACCTTATGAGCCATACCGCGTACAGTCCCGACCTGGCACCTCGTGAATTTTATTTACTTCCAAAAATTAAGAATCAGTTACGCGGTCAACGATGTTCATCACCTGAAGAGGCTGTCGAAGAGTATGAAAAATATGTTTCAGGGATTGTCACGGAGGAGTGGCATAAATGTTTTCAATATTGGTTCATTCGTATGAAAAAGTGCATTAACGCTGACAGAGAATATTTTGAGAAACAATAAATTAATTTCTGACCATTTATAGTATTTTTTCTTATTCATTCCGGAAACTTATAGTGCGCACCACGTAGAACATAGAATTTTGAATCGAACTATGTAAATAACTTTTTTTCAGTCATCATTGTAAGTTACATTCATTTGAACTAAAGGACATAACTTTGCCTTAGAGTGAATACATCGTATGTGATTTCTGCTTTGTATTTTTTATGATATCAAGTGACGGGATGAACAAGTCGTGAGCCTGATGGCAAGCGACACGCCTGTCCATAATAGTTGCAGTGCCATTCAGTGCTTTAAATCGCAAAGATATAAGGGGCGCTGTCACTGCGCCCGTCACCCTGAAACGTAAGTTGACAAGTCCCATGTGCCTGTAATTTCACCAGAACCCGTCAAAACTGGAACACAGTAATGCTGACTTTACTGCTTGGCGGCAGAAATAGGTAAGGTGGCAGTACTTCCCTGAATCAACTCTTTCACTGCTACTTCATAAAGAGCTCTACCGCTATTACTTTAAAGTATGGAGAAAAAGGACTTGCCCTAGTGTCTTTGATTTCACGATCGGAGAAGTTGCAATCTTGTACACATCCACTACCTACATTTTGCATTTTTGCCTCAGCCTCTCGGAAGACTTTTTTATAATACCAATACCAAGTGACAGGACGAACAAGTCGTGCGGCTGATGACAAGCGATATGCCTATCCGTAACGGTGCCACTCAGAGCTTTGCATCGCAAAGACCTTATGGGCACTGCCAGCGACACATAGTTGAACAGATGTTTATAAAACGTAGCAAAGAACCATCTTGATTAAAACAGCTTTCAAATAAAACAAAACTGCTTTGAAATCAGTTCATCCGTTTGGGAACTGCGTCGCCACACATGGACTCACAGAAAAAAAACTAGGAATTAATTAATACGTCCCCATTTTGCGTCGTGGATTAATAAACTCGTACAGAGTACTAAAAAATCTGTCCTCAAAATTTCTGATAACCGATTTCAATAAAACTGTGTAAATAGACCGAATTTACCAAGTTTTATTGAAATCGGTTATCAGAAAGTGTACGAAACCGGACTAGAGGTGGAATATTTTTTTCAAATTTACATGGGACCAATACTGCGGTACCTTCTTTGCAACAAAAAAAGAATCATTAAAATCAGTTCGCCGGAGTTATCGCGTAACATACATACAAAAAAAACTGTCGAATTGAAAACTACCTAAAATATACTAAAATGTAACTTGAGACCTCCTCATTCTGCGTCCTCGATGAGGTCGTCAATTTCGTATACGCATAAATATTCAGTTTTCGTACTAGAGTGAATGCTCCAAGAACATTAAAATATCTCCTTTGTTAAAATTTTAAACACTGTAACTCCTGAATAGTAGAGTTCATCTGAACAAGACCGGAGTCCATTTAGACCACAGTTTCCCAAAGTGGTCCCTACCACCGAGGGGGGAGCAATTGGGGGCTTTGATGCTGTCTAGGGATGCTATCGCATTTGAAAAAAAACACCTGAATACTACTTACTACATATACAGGGCGTGCCATGGCTTTGCCACATGGAGGGAAAGTACCTTAAATACCATAGATAGAAAATTTTACCGAAAGAAGACTTCATTTTGATTTAAAAAAAAATTCGAACTGTATTGAAATATTTTTAAATAATCGCCTGTCTAAGCCGGGAATCGAACCCGCTAAATGTGAAAAAACAAACACCTGTAATTTTACTAAACTGATCGAAAGCCTCAATCATAAAGTTTGTTTTCTTTTACATAAATAACGTCTTAAATAAAGAGAGAGACCATGAAATTTAACATTTAATTTAAAATTTCGTTCAAGAAAATGAAGTAATATTTTTTATCTACAGTGTTTAAGGTACTTTCCCTCCGTGTAGCATAGCCGTGAAACGCCCTGGGGACCTTTTTTTAACCCGGAGAAATGCGTTACGCATACCACCGCGCCCGGGGAGGCGCGGGGTTATGTGGGACCCTCTTCCAGAAAGGAAGCCTACCCACTAAAACTTCGGGGTGATCCATCCAGCCGCCTAGCGGGGGTTATGGTACCGGTTGCCCATTAACCACGACCGACAAAGAGCGGACGTTCGCGGCCTTTTTTTGGCGCGAATCCTCTCAAGTAGCCCTTGCCACTGGTGCACCTGGGCGGCTTCCTGGAACACGGGGAAGTTGCCCTACCCTCTTGGGACTGGGTGTTACGAGTAATCCTTGACTCGTCACCCGAGTCCCAGTACGGCGGGAAAAGGCGTATTTCCGCGTGGCGCCTCCGCCCTGTCCTCTTCCGCCAGCGGGGATCAGCGAGGACGTCATTCTCTCTGATCCGATTCGCCGTCACCTTCCGTGTTATTACAACCTCACAGAAGGAGCTCACCGCCTCCTACGACCTCTCGCTTCCGACCATAGACTTGACTACGGCCAGTAATGAGAGATCGTGTCCCACCCCGGCGACCATTGCCGCCCGCTCCTTTGCCCACTCTGGGCATTCCGCCAACGTATGCTGTGCCGTATCTTCGGCACAGCCACACTGATGGAAGATAGGGGTCGGCTCTCTCCCAGCGATCTTGTACAGGTATCTCTCGAAGCATCCGTGCCCCGAGAGCAACTGTACCAGTCGACAGGTTCCTTCCTTCCTCCAAATCCTTAAGAATTGGCTGCACTGCCTCTACCGTACGGACGCCAACAGTCGGCTCCTCCAGCGTCTTTTACATTTTCGAAATAGCTCCCGCCTCGCGTTCAGTCTCCACCTGTGGACGTCTTCGAGGTACAGGTCTGCCCCTTCCCTCCTGGATGCCCTGGGGGCCTAGCACAAACTCTTAAAACAATATTACTTTAACCTTACATTGACTTTTCGCACCATGACGTGAGATAAAAAGTTTGGGAACCTATGATTTAGACAGTAGTCATTATCAACATAATTACCTAACTTGGTAAGTGTAATGCCCCCATCATAATAACTTGGTCAGTGGATGTGAATTGTAAATGGACTTATCTTCATACCGCGTTAATTTTAATAGTTAAGGGCCAAGGGGTTTATGAGATGATTACAGCATCGTAGAAAGGAAATTGTGGGAATACGAATTTATGTTGTAACAGTATATCAGGACATTTTAATTAGGCCAGAAAATTTAAATTTGTGGTCACAAAAATACATAAGGTAACTAGGGCCAGCTTCACACAAATAAGATATTTTGTTACACATACAAATTATTCGGTTAACATATTGACATTTTGGACATTACTCTTAGTGAAATTACTCCTTGTGAAAGAGTTCGTCCACGAAAGTACTGCCACTTTACCTATTTCTGCCGCCAAGCAGTAATGTGACCTTTACTGCGTTCCGGTTTTGAATAGTATGAGTGCTGGTAAAATACAGTCACATGGAACTTGACAACGTCTTAGGGGGATATGACATTATCCTCCTAAGACCCAGCAAACTACAATGCCAATGTATATTAAAATGTATATTAAATATAATTACATGCTTCGGGTCCTGGCAAGTACGCGCTCAGATTTGTCGTATTTTTATTTTATGACACCAAGTGATGGGACGAACAAGTCGCGTAATCTCACGCCTGTCCATGACGGTTGCAGTGGTACTCAGAGTTTTAATTTCAAAGATATGAGGGACACTGCCACTGCGCCTGTAGACATAGTTGACAAGTCTCAAGTGCCTGTACTTTCACCAGCACCCTTACGGTCGACGACGTGGTGGGACGAGACCTCCCACTGCCAAGCATAGTTTGAGCCATCCTGGGAAGCTAGAGGTCATGGCAGGCGATGGTCTCTTTCTGCGAGGACATGATGTTGCAGAAGATGACGGCCGAACGGGTCCGCGAAGACAGCGCCCTCTCGGACCCCGTTCGGTGTCGGCGGAGAGGATGCACGCGACGGCTCTTCGCCGACCGCCTGCGTCCCATCTGTGGAGGCCAGCAGTGTGTAGGGTTGGGAGACCCTGTATTGCACAGGCCTCCGCCGCCGGTGGATGCCCCAAATGTTCCGGGGCATATCCGTGCAGATTGCCCCCCATGATTAAGGGGGGATGGTGTAGGGGTCCGCCCACAATTCAGGGGTAAACCTGTCTTTAGTGACGGGTCACTGAAATTGTGGTGCCACGACACAGCCACATTCCAGTGGCTAGAAGACGCCATTAGCACCATCAGGCTGCCATCCGGGGAGCCCCTCTCGTTGAAAAATGGGGTGGAGGCTCCCCGGAGGGCAGTCTGCGGACTGTTGATTCCTGGCCACTGGGACGATGCACGCCGAATCGGCCGCATCCTCAAGTGGCAAAACCCATGGGCGGAGGTTCACCGCTGGTATGTCCACAAGCTGCAGAAGCAAAGTGGACATACCTTCGTGGTAGTGAGCCTCCCCGAAGAACTGGTCCCGGCTGTCCTGGGGCATGACCGGCGCTTCACTTTCCAGTTAGGCACGGTCTACCTCAGGTTCAGATCCAAAAGGGGCCTGTACACGGATACGCCGCCTGAGAAGGCGGACATTAATAAACCACCGATGGATGTCTCCCCGGAGCCCTCTACCTCCTCTGGCATCACCGGAGAAGGGAAGGAGCCCTCCCTGACCCCCGCCTCTGCGGACGAGTGCGTGTCGGGGATGGGAGACATCCGACTGAGCGAGGACGAAGACGAGGAGCTGCTGTCCACTGATGGCGGTTACCCCCTCGCTCAGTAAATCACACATCATACAGTGCAACCTCCACCACAGCCAGGCCGCAACGGTTCAACTCCGGAAATGGTTGGAGGCAAACAACACAGCCGTGGCACTGATCCAGGAACCGTGGATCAGCGCCCGCGGCCAAATAAATGGACTCTCACAGATGAGAGGTAAGCTGATATCAACTACCATCTCAGAAAAACCACGAACTTGCATATATTACTCTAATAATTTACATGTACAGCCACTAACAGAATTCTGTTCCAGAGACCTGTGTGCCGTCAAGCTTTTAGCTGACACGGCCACGGGCCTGCCTGAAGTGGTGCTTGCCTCTGTCTATATGGCGGAGACTGATGTACCACCACCGCAGAAAATGGAACGGCTAATCAAATACTGCGAGCAGAGCGGCCAGCACATCGTCGTGGCCACTGACTCCAATGCCCACCATCCGTTGTGGGGCATGGAACTTGCTAATGACAGAGGAAAGAACCTAATAGAATACTTATTCACAACTAACCTTCAAATCCTTAATAAAGGTACAGTACCAACCTTCGTAAATAAAAGATGCAGGACGATCATAGACCTAACCCTAGCGTCCGAAGGAGCTGTAAATCTTGTCCAAGACTTGCACGTGTCCGAAGAAGCATCCTTCTCGGACCACAGATGGATAAGATTCAACTTAGAAACAACCATCAAAGAACAACAACCGAAACGGAATCCCCGAAAAACCGATCGTAAAATATACATTGACAAACTACACCAGAGCCTGGGGGAACCGGTAGCACCGGGAAGACTGCTGGACACAGCACAGATAGAAACGCAGGTTACAGAACTGACATCAAACATATTGAGCAGCTATAATTCCGCATGCCCACTGAGTGAATCTGCCCCGCGGCAAGGCCAACACTGGTGGGGGCCTGAACTTGAGAGGCTACGCAGAAGGGTAAGGAGACGCTTCAATAGAGCAATGAACACATGCACGGATGAGGACTGGGAAAACTACAAGACGGCCAAATCCAAGGAAAAAAAGCGCATACGATTCAGGAGCACCGCGTCATGGCGAGGCTACTGCGGGAACATCACGTCTTGTGCACAAGCGAACAGAATAAGGAAAATCCTAGGCAACTCAAATTCAACTGAGCTAGGTTCAATACGCAAAATAGACAACACATACACAACTTCCCCTGCGGACACGGAGAGAACCCTACTGGAAGCACATTTCCCAGGATGTAGGTTCGTCCAAGACGAAAGGTGCGAAGAAATGAACTACAATACATCGATCCATAACTGGCGATACGCTGAACAAGTAGTAACATACGAAAAGACAAAATGGGCAGTAAACACCTTTGAACCGTATAAAGCTCCGGGCCAAGATGGAGTATTCCCCGCACTCCTACAATGGGGCGGGGACACACTGGTCCAGCACCTGGTCAACATCTTTCAGGCCTGTCTAGCGTTTAGCTATGTGCCCTACAGCTGGCGAGAGGTAAAAGTCATATTTATACCGAAACCAGGTAAAAACGACTACACTGACGCGAAGTCCTTCAGACCAATCAGCCTCACATCGTTCTTCTTGAAAACATTAGAAAGGTTATGTGATAGAGAACTGAGGGATGGAGCGCTTAAGAACATACCACTACACGGAAACCAACATGCATACAGTCAAGGCAAATCCACTGAATCGGCCCTACATGCCGTTGTGGGCAAGATAGAAGTGGCCCTCAAAGACAAAGCAATCTGCCTAGGCACCTTTATCGACATTGAAGGAGCCTTCGATAAAACCAACTTCTCCAGCATACAATCAGCACTGAGGAGGCACGAAGTGGATGAAGTGCTCATCAGCTGGATTAGCAACATGCTAAAATTAAGAACTATAAAAACAACAGCAAATAAGACCCCATGGGCCATAGTAGCGAAGGGATGCCCTCAAGGAGGGGTACTGTCGCCTCTGCTGTGGAACATAGTCGTAAATGACCTCATCATTAAACTGAACAAAGAACATTTCGATACAGTAGGATATGCTGATGACATAGCTATACTGGTAACAGGAAATTATGCCAATGTACTCTGCGACATTACACAAGCTGCACTCCGGATTGTGGAAAGATGGTGCAGGGCATATGAACTGTCGGTAAACCCAACAAAGACGGAATTGGTAATGTTTACAAACAAAAGACTACTGGGTAACTACCTACTACCCAAACTGTTCAGTACAGAACTACAGATATCAACCGAAGTCAAGTACTTGGGAGTAATACTGGACAACAAGTTGAATTGGAACAAGCATCTGGACAACAAAATTAAAAAAGCCACTATCACCTTCTGGCAGTGCCATAGAATGGTAGGTAAACAATGGGGACTCTCACCCAAAATAACACTATGGCTCTACACAGCGGTGATAAGACCCATGATCAGTTACAGCGCGATAGTATGGTGGCCACGAACCAAACTGACGACCGCAACCGACAAGCTGGACAAATTCCAAAGACTGGCTTGCATGGCAACGACCGGCTGCATGAGGACAACTCCGACTGCGGCCCTCGAAGCGATGCTGGACCTGCGACCCCTCCCAATGTTCATCAGACAGGAAGCGGCGTCAACAGCAGTGCGTCTAAACAGAACCGGCCTTTGGAAGCACATGAGGACCCCACATACAGAAATCCTTCATAAGACAGTCAATGAGGAACCGCTACTGGAGGCGGCTGTGGATAGGATCCCAAAACAGTACATCTTTGACAAAAAATACAAGATACAATTGTTTGAAGATCCAAATGAAGGACTGAACCCCAGAGAGGTCCGCGTCTGGATCTAAAACAAGTTCAGGAACAGGTACTGGGGTATTCTCAGAAGACCTCAATATCAGGATATCAACACCGCTTGGTGACCACAACACAGTATTCCAGGCTGAATGTATGGGCATCAAGTTGGCGGCAGAAGCAATCATAGCGAGAAGAGTAAAGAACCACTCCATTCGAATACTCTCTGACAGTATGTCAGTACTTCAAGCACTGAACAGCTATGACATAAACTCAGGGCTCATTTATGAATGCCATCAAGCACTCATGGAGGTATGTATACAAAACCACTTAACTCTACAGTGGATTAAAGGACACAGCGGCTCACGTGGCAATGACGCAGCAGATGAACTAGCCAGAAAAGGGTCGGAGACGGACGCAGTAGGACCAGAACCCATAGTGTCCCTCCCCTACCAATGGTCCAGAACAACTATACACAAAGGTACAAAAACTTCACATAATATTACATGGACCACCCTTACGGTTTGTAGACAGGCGAGGGAAGCACTCCCAACGCTCAATGCCAGTCTATCACGAATATTAATTAAACTCAACAGGCAAGAGCTTCGCACTCTAACTGCCGCCCTAACAGGTCATGGTCCATACAATAAACACCTTTTCAATTTAGGTATCACAGACAGCCCTCTATGCAGAGCGTGCATGGAGGGGGAGGAAACGGCTGCGCACATCCTACTACAGTGCTCCGGCGTGGCCAACTACAGGGCAAAGTACCTTGGAGTGCCAAGGTCGCTCCCCGAAGTCTTCAGCAAACCGAGGAGGCTGCTGAGATTCCTGGAGGAGCTTGGGTGGCACGAGTAGGACCCTGCACCCACCACACGCAAAATAGGCGCCTTGACGTCGAGTTGCGGACACTAGCCCGTTACACCAAGTACCAAGTACTAAGTAGGGGTCCGCCCAAAGGCGCCCAAAGGCGGACCGGCACCACCGGAGTCGCGGTAGCATTTGAAAGGGACCCCGCGGCTCCGCGGAACACCGTGAGATTTTAGTGGGTATGCTCTTGGGAACCGATATAGTCCGTAACGCATTTTCCTCACGGCAATAATAATAAAAAAAAGGTTAGGTTAAGTTAGATTTAAAAGAAAAAAACGTTTTCCTTTCAAAATTACTTTCGAAGTTATGAAAATTCGAGCAAACGTTATTTCTGGAAAATGTCATTTCGGACTACTGATAGGTAACCCTGAGTAGCACTGAAACTGTTCTGGACAGGCGTGCAGCTTACCACCGGGCAAACGACCTGTTCATCCCGTCACTTGATGTTATTTAAAAAGTACTAGACTTTTCTTTTTGTGAAGAACAAGAAGGATGTATGAAGAATGTAGCACGTTAAGAATGATAGCTACTTCACATTGTCTCAGCTCTGAGTCAATTAACGATGGTGTTAAAGACATTTTTGTGGCTTTTATGACACATTTAACCCCTTATGACCCTGCATACTACAATGGGAAAAGCACTAAACGCCCAATGCACATTAAAATTTACTAAATATAATTACATGCTTCAGGTCCAAGTATACTTAGTTCTCCCCTCAGTTCTCGTCCTCATGTTAGCATGAAAAATGCAAGCGGAATTTTTCAAAGTATATTTCTGGATACTCTATGAACAGAATATATATAAAGCGCTACATTTTAAAGAGATGTTTTCATTATAATTAGTGACCATCGGAAGAATATTGTCAGGGTCAGAATTACAGCATATATTATGTACATTCTGAAGTACACGAGGTCATAGCTTATTTTTTTTGTGGTAAAAATATTTGATCGCATTTGATCTCCATCTCCCTCCTCATGTAGTAGCAGTAGAGCGTCAAAGTCCTTGTGAAAGAGTTCGTCAAGGGAATTACTGCCACCTTACCTATTTCTGCCGACAAGCAGTGATGTCACCATTACTGTGTTCCAGTTTTGAAGGGTAAGGGTGCTGGTGAAATTACAGGCACATGGGACTAGTCAACTAAGTCTCAGGGTGACGGGCGCAGTGAAAGTGCCCGCTCTGAGTGACACTGCAACCGTTATGGACAGACGTGTAGCTTACTATCAGGCGCACGAGTTGTCCGTCCCGTCTCAGGATATCATGAAAAAAAAGTCTCCCATGATAGAAAATGACAACGCAGCATGCACATTTATATAATGCCTGTATAATCTCGACTTGAAAAGGCCCAAGCTATGGTGTGCAGGCAGGGGAATCCACTCGAATATTCTACCAAACAAGAAAATTCAATAGGGTCACGGATCTTCTTGACAGTACTCTAGTACCAGTTTATGTGGGAATCTGAATTTTGTCTCGCTCTTGGGCGTGTGAGGTTCTAAATTGTCTATAATCCAATAACCGCTGCCAGGGCCCTAATACGATTTCGTGAGTAGGCTATCGCGCGGTGGAGTACAATAATCTATGCAGTCCTTAGCCCGCCATATTACAACAACATATATTGCATATCACACCACAAACGCTTACTCCCGATTAGAGTGTAGAACTGAAAGTCTTGGTGATCAGCTAAAACAATCTTTCGATCAAGGAAATAAATTAACTCCGTCGCGCTAACTGGGCATTGGTGGGCGGGGGATGCATTTATGTAGCCCCTCAGATCTTTGTGGCTTAAAGCACTGAGTGGTACTGCAATTGTTATAGACAGACGTGTCACTTGCCACCAGGTGGGCGACATGCTCGTCCCGCCACTTGGTATCATAAAAAAAAATTGCAAAATGGAAAGTATTGGTATCTTTTTGTACAGTAACCGAGTTTGACAATTGTGTGACAATTTTAACACATTTACACCTGTTTTATAGTGTACATATACTTACACCGGTGACGTTTCTGGTAGATTGTTTAGTAAACATTGGTTTCACTATTTATGTTATTAAACACACACGACCTTAATGCTACGAGTTTCAGACGATTTCGATTTGCATGATAGCTAATACAAACAACTTCGCGGAGTCTCGTGGGGCGGTTACACACGTCGACTTTTAGTAGCCATGCAAACGCCATGCAGTAACGATACAAATGCGATGCAAACGCGATACAAACGCGTTGCATGTTTTAAATTAATTAACTCATTTATTTATTTAATGTATTTATTAATTTCCTACCTACAGATTTTTCGTACATAATTATTCAACATAAGAGACTGTATCGATGCAGTTGCGCGTTTGCATCGATGCAATGAAAACGCGCGTTTCACGAACGAGTTTTTGCATCGCTGCTACACTACTCTTACGTATATTGATATTTTTGTACCTAGTATTAGTATCTTGATTATTGAGTATGATTTATGAAATAGAAATGCAATTCTGAATAACTCACAATTTGAGGCACTCTTGTTCAAGTTACCACAAACACACCGTTAAACACCTTTCCTATTTGATGGCATTTTTTAAACATCGAACGACCGCTTCAATTAAATACTAAGTTTTATCGTCATTGACGAATGTTTTCTGCCTCCGAATTGATATTTTAAAGCTATAAAAATCTAAAAATCGAGGAAATTGGTTTATGTACAAAAAATATAATGACTGAAAGGTAAAATAAATTACAATTATTTAAGAAACATACCCAAAAAAATTTAAAAAGACAACCTCACATCACACAATTCTCATTTTAAACTGTTTTAAACTCCTTCTTGCTATCAAACTTGGGCATGATTTGTATGCGTCCGTACACTATACGATACAAGTCGCGCTCCGATGTTTCTATGGAGTTATCACACTTGTCTTATTCTTATTATGTTACATTTCTTGGGCCGAATTTACATTGCAATGCAAGCAAATATTTTAGGACGAAGTAGTATAATATAGCATAATAAATTTCATGTCAATTGTGTAACCTAAAAATTGAATACGAGCCAGAAAACAGGTTACGCGTATTCCAGAGAATTCTTGTGCAGTCTCGGGAATTCCCGCAGCTTCCGCATCGTGTCTAGTTTGTACATTACATAATTCACGTAACGTTCATAACGCTACGTACAATTCGTTATAAAAATTACATTCCTCTATAGTCCATTTGTTTAGTTACTTAACTAAATGTAAACAATTTTGAGATGTCTATTTAATGTGTTGGGAATATTACGAATCACAATTAAACACCGACAATAGAATACACACGTAGTTTATTCGTGAGGCCTACATATTATAGTATGTTAACATCAAAAGCCGCGCGGTCGGAGCGCGGCAGGCGGAACTCTATACAACACGTACAAACGCTGGGTCGCGAACGCGCGAACTGAACGTAGGCGGAGATCTGTCGCTGGCGCACGCCGCGGTGCGCATGCGTAGTGAGTGTATCATGGCTCGTGGATGGTTGCGTGCGCAGATTTCGTCCTTATAAATGAAATACACATTTATAAAATGATTTTTACTTACCTTCAAATACAAAATACAAATACTTTAGCTTCATATGAAATTGCATGCCTTTTCTTATACCTATTGATTTGTAAAGCATATGTTTCAATAAACTACAGTGTATATACTAATAGTGTGGCCAACTTTATTAAAAACTAAATTACATAAAAACCCTTCCAAATATTTCCCTGCTTTTTTTGGAACCTTTTAATCCCTCATAAAATATTCAAAATTAAAATTCTTTCCTATCAATGTAGCGCTCAATCAACTTCTCAAGTAGAGGCCGACAACTGACAACTACACTGCTTTAATGTCTTTTTACCCGAGACTCGGACTTAATGGGAAATTGCCTCTTAACTTGATTTGAGTCCAATTTCCAATACAATTTCTCTATCCGGCAAATGAAATCTGCCGAAGGCCTTTAAAATGCCCGTTTCAGATTAAAGGCATTTTAAAGTAGGGTAAATGAGTTCCTTAAGCCTTGATACAGATTTAAAATAACCATAAACTTCATTAAATACGTTTATAGTGTGGTTTCTACTTCCCTATAGGATATTTCTGTCGTAAAAAGCAACCAAGGATATATTTTTCATGCTTTTCTATAACCCTTTTCTGTCCCACTTCTTAGTCAAGGCTTCTCCATTCTTTTCCCATTGATCCCAGCCTTGGGCATGGACAACATCTGGCCAGTTCTTGAAACAGGAATCTAAAAAACCCTAACGACAAGTCTTTTTGAGTTGTGGGGCTTCCTCTCTGGGGTTATCTTGGTCCACAACTCACATGGCATATAGCAGACGTCACCAGCCTAGTTCCGAGCTACATCGGCAAATTGTTTTGAGCGCAGCGTGATGTTCCTGACACGATCTATTAGTTTTACACCTAGTATGCTGCGCTCCATAGCTCATTGGCGAACCCCGCAATTGAATTTTGGAGCTTCTGTCAATGGACGAATCTGAGCATCGTAGGTATTCATATAGGAGATGGATACCAGCGTCTATCTCTGGGTAATTAGTTTACTACCCAAAAGGTTATCATCACGTTACAGAATGTTTTTGACAGCAGTATTATTAGAGTTTCTCACAAGTGGCGCTGACGGCAAAGAATACGTTTAATCAATACAAAGATCGGCAAAAAGCACATAAAGAAATTCATAAGTTCTGCTGATTCGATTTGTAGCTCCGTTGGTAAGATCGGCGTCTCCGGTGTGGCAACAGACACTGGTTCGAGTCCAGTCAGATAGAAGGAATTTTTCTTTGTAATATTCGAATTTATATCAATAATGATAAAAAACTTGTGTAGTATTTTTACAAAAAATACATGACTTTCATGGTTGTTAAAGACGTCATGGTATCTATTCAATAAAATAAAATATTAAAATAAAGTGGGTTACAACGTTTTAGTGAACAACCACGGAAGGCCTAAAATCCAGGTTGGATTTCTACTCCGGCTGCCAAAACTAAACTCAACATAGGCATAGCGATTGCAACAAGTTTATTATTTTATATAAGTAGTCGAATAAATCTATGTGATGAATTCACTGACTGTGTTCTAGGTATGAGATGCGGTCAAGAATATATATATATATATATTTAAATGTTTGTTAATACCTTGTACCGCTTCAATTGCTTAACAGGGAATTCAAATTGACCTTTTTTTTTTTAAATAAATGCGTACGCATTTGACCTCCATCTCACTTGATTGAAAGTAAAGCGACGATGAGGTCGCAGATGGAGAATGCACACCTTGATAATGCTTATTCACCTCTCGCTTTGAAAAGACCCAAGTTATATCGTTCAGGGAACAAGTCTACGGGCAGAGAATTCCACCTCAGACCTGTTCGGCATATAAATGTGCATGTCGTGCGATTTCACCTTAAAAAATTTTACAATATTGGTCAATTATTAATTTTGAGGCAACTAAAAAATGAAAATTTCTGCCAGGTTTACTGATCGATACTACCGGTATTTGCCCAAGGTCAGAGTGAACAAACATTGGTTCATTCTCGTTCACAACTTACTGTCGATAGACAATGGATAAACGTGGGACTATCTAAAATAAAACAAACATCGTGTTATGACTTTAAACTTGTATTTTTCAATAGTCTTTTAGCCGTCAATTGCAATCAAAAATATTTCTTACATTCTTAAAATAAGGTGTACTGTTATGTGCCCTTAACGTTGATATACTGAGTGGAAAACTTCTCAGATCGCGGCCAACAAGTCGCAGGCGGGCTCTGTAGTCTACAATAATAAAGGCAACGTTCAACTTTCGTTAATTAATAATACAACTAAGAGCAACTACAATCTCAGTTTCAAAGAAAGCTTGCGAAGAAAGGAATAAATCTTCATTAAATCGCGGTTATCTCAAGGAACCACTTTCCTCCGAGTTCTAATAGATTCCTTGTAGGAACTTGTGCAGTATTATAAATGGTAATTAGGTTAACTGGTTATGAGAAGAGGATCGTTCACGTTTTACTTTAAATAATTTTCATTTATATGGATGTAAGGATAGATTTCGATATCTGGTACTCCACCTTGATAGGCGTTTAACATCATCCGCCGGGCCTTATGCCCGCTATTCTCGAGCCAAGCGCCATATCGCGAACAGATGGCAAACGCCCGTACGGAATGACTCTCATCCCTTTGAGTATGGGCCAGGCACTTGTGTGGGACGCCACATGTGCCGACACAAATGCCCCATCCCATCTCCAGCACACCAGCAAGAGGGCTGGCTTTGGAGTCGAAACACTTGGCCCATGGGGTCCCAGTGCCCTTCATCTGAACAAAATTTTATCGAAAAAATTAATTGACTGTCTGGGAAACCCAAGGGCCGGCAGCTACCTTACCCAACGCATCAGCATAGCAATACAAAGCCAGCATCTTGGGCACCTTGCCGAGGGGACCCAATTTTATTCATGTAATTTAAAAATCCTAGTTTTACTTCCTATTAGTTAAGCTTTCATTGTCTTTTTTACCTTACCTGTATATATTCACTTTTTTTTTAATAAAGCAAACATGGAGAGAATATAACAAAGAAAAAGAAAGAGAAACGAACATGCGCTATAAACGTCACATTTTCATAACACTTGCTCGTAAATGATATGATTGCATGGTGGCTAACTTGACTATAATGCCCCAAATAAATACCTCGGGCCTTTTCTATTCCCATTACAGCCTTTGTCGGCAAGAAAATTTTTTCATATGTAGCAGAACATACTTCCATATCCATACCATAGATCAGGTTCAAATTCAAGTAAGAAGGTTACTAAAGTCCAAATCAAAACATTCGCTTATAATGTTATCTGAACAGAAATTTAATTGCAATTCTGCAATATACTACTTAAATACTTATTTATTAACAATTTCTCTTAATTGATTTTAATTATTTTCTGTATAAAAATTTTACAATTTTTTTTTACAATCCATCATGGCTGCAGGTGTCTTTGCATTTTACAACATTTTAGTTCGAATATGAAGAACAGCTAAAAAAACAAAAAAACCGCCATTTTCAAAATCCATAATTGTTGTGTTGTGAATCATGAAACATGATGAAAAACACTGTATGTATCACGAACTCGAGTTATTAAAACCCTCAGACTTCGGCTTCTAATAGTTATTACTAAACATCGTTAGTAATTTTTATTTATCGTCTTCAATATACAATGTACTATTGTGGCTCTTGGGCCGAAGTTGCAAACTATCAATAAACAACAAGTTACTTATATATAAAGTAATCCGAAGACCACAGTGGACTTATACAACTCTGGAGCTGTACCAGCGGTTCCAACATCCAATGTCTACAAAAGGTTCAAAACATGATACTCCGAACTATAAGCAATGTGCCCTAGTATATCACTAACATAGAAATCCATGAACACCTGTAAGTAACCACAGTCATAGAAGAGATTGCCAATTCAGTTCAGTACTTCTCCAGCCTATGCTGGAGAAGCACCCTAATGCAATGGCATCACGACTCTCAACGAAAGATATCCTATTCAGAGTGAAATTGCAGGGGATGTCTGTATCAATGTCTCTACATGATATTGAACCTGGAACTCATTTGCTTAAAGCGAAAAGCACTGATTGCAAATTAAACACAAAAGAAATAGTGATGGTAAAGGATTGTTTAACGTAATCTAAGGAGTTGCTTTCCGAATTCTGTACTTCCGAATACATGTGCATAATACTTAAGTAATAACTATGACCATAACTACGAATATGTTCTTATAAAAATTATTAACTAACTATAGATATTGACTGACGTTGTTCAGCATATCGACACTTTCAAGTCCCCAATTGTAATTTTTTTGTTTTCTAGGGCTGACTATATTTCTGATGATATAAAGAAAAGACAAAGCCTCGAATGATGTCATTAAAATGCACACGTTACATTACGTTACAATCATGTTGCTCGAATTGCGGAAACTAATGTTGCAATCATTATTCTAAATTAAATTTCAAGGACGAGATGGGTAGTAACTGTTAATTAACAACAACGCTGGGCTATTGTGTTTTGTGTTCTGTGCCTATAGTATTAAAAATATTTAAAAATAATAAGGCAGTATGGCAACCCTATAAATACACCAACTACATAGGGTGCATTATAAGTTTCCGGAACTGGCCACTCACATAAACAATATTTAAAAAGTAATCATAACATTTGAAAATGGAACTCTTTGGCGGTAGAATACAGTTTGTTTCATCTGACTGTCACTGGTTTTTACAAGGTGGCATCATTTTAGAAATTGATTGTCTGCATCACCATGGATTTAACTCGTGAAAATTTTCGTAGTGTGACTTTCTACGACTTTAATTGCAATTTAACAGCTCAGCGAAGCTTCGCTCGGCTTCAAACTGCTTTTGGCGATAACGCATGATGCAAGATGACTATTTATAGCTGGTTTGCAGAATTCAAACGCGGTCGTGGGAATCTCAGTGACGAATTTCATGTTGGTCGCTCGTCTCTGCTGTGAACAAAAATATCGAT